ACAAGCAGCAGCAGCCTAAACTGTTGACATAAGGATCTATCCATGCTTTTGTGTTTTTTATGCCAATTTCTGACCCTACCATCTGAATATTCCAGTAGAAATCAAGACTCTGATCATCTATTGTCGAATTTTGGTACTTTAGCATGAACTAGAAGCTTGATTCTGTGATTAGTGACTGATGAACTAAACCCCAATCTAATTCTCTTATTAAAAATCTAAATGATTTATTTTCTTTTACTAGAGAACTTTTAGGAAACTTTGGAATATCATTGTGCAAGATTGAATGCAACCAATACTTTTTTGAGAGGCGATGATTCATTGGCATGTAGGTGATATCTTGTTGTATCATATACTTTAATGCAACCAGCAAATTAATTTAGGTTGTCCCAACAAAGTGGATGATCAATCAGGAAGACAAGTTCAGAGAGGATACTAACAGTAATGTTAAAACCAGTCTATGCATGCCAAAACAGCATAAGTACTAAAAGAAATCTTAATATGTTGTTAAAATTGGTTTTCACATTATTTGGCATTTACTGGCAGGGTTGGGGAAAGTTACTGTGTTACAGTATTGGGTTTCTCCCTAAAACGTTACTGATGGTGTTACTTAGTTACTTTATATTTACCTTTTTTTGTTGTAAATTTTAAAGTAATTTGTTACTCTACCAGTTATCTGATTACATAACTTGTACTTGTAATGTGTTACCCCCAATAACCCCCAGTAAAGTGTATGATGGACCATTTATCTTTAGCAAGAGTTTTGACCTGAACTTTTCCTGTTTCTACTTGGAAAACCAATACAACTATGACAAGACATTATACTGTAAAAACTACATCCTTTTGACTTGCTGCCGGCCAGCTGTGTTCCGATTTTTATCGGCAGACACTTATTGAAAATTAGTTGTTCAAGTCCCACCATGTACTATATATAGTGTATTCTCATAATACTGAATATTGAACATGAACACGGTTCATTGTGTTGTGCAATAGAGTCAGCACTTCACCCATTTCCCCCTGCTCAGCCTTCTGGGAAATCCCTATAGGTTAGCTGACCCCTAATTAAAAATCCTGCAGTGACTCATTAGTTCCTCTCTACTCTGTGAAATGAAAACGAGTCGAAACAGAGCAGAGCTATTGATCACATTAGCATACAGAGCCGCTGCGGCAGGTGACCCGAACTGATCGCTTCTCCCAGGCAGCAGTGGTCAGAGAGCAGGTGTGCAACCCACCTTGAGTGAATACTATATTAGTATGGGCACCTGTGCCATTTCTGCATTGGCTGTGGGTAAATGATGAAAGGACATTGAAAATACTCTGAAGTCAGAAGGACACTGGCATTTGGTGTCTATTTGGCCTCCCATTTCTCTCAGTTCTTTCTCTCTTATGTAAGAGGAGCACTAAATCTATGTCATTCCTAAAGCAGAACAGTAAATACATTCCTTTTATGATTTTGTTTGCTTTATTACATTACATATTTTCACTGAAAAACAAGACTAAACTACAGATACAAAACACTTTTGTTATGATATTTCCCTCTGTAATCATGACTTGATTACAAAATACACATCTCAATGACTTATAGAACAGGTCTGCTGTACATTTAATGCACATCCATATTTCAAGTCTTCTTTACCAATGGGACAGATAAATGTCAATGTCTTTATGAAACTGAGACTAGGTAAGTGGTTCTGTGCTGTTTATTGTTTCTCATTACCCAAACGGATCCGCTGATAGGCTAAATAGAATTAGGGATATACCGGTAGCTGTATTTAAAGCTGAGGCTGTAAAAGATTAGAAATCATCAGCAGATGTGCGTGATTTGGGAACCAAGGAATGCAAAAGGGAGCAGTTTGTCCTTTATCAACGTCTGCAACTTCTCAAAGTGTGAGGAAAGAAGGCCTTTGTTAAATAAGAAATAATCAGGAAAAACGAGAAGAATAAGATGTCAATACAACATTATTGATGCAAAATACTGGCTCTTACAAACACTCAAGGGGACACAAGTGTTTCCTCAATTGGCTGCAAAGCCCTGTGCACAGACACACACTGACATCTCAAAGCAGAGCCAGCTTCTACACAAACATGCGCACAAACACATGAATACTTAATTGTTTTCCTTGAGTTTTGAGTTTATAATCATATTTAGAGTGAACTTGGTGGCAGCAGAAATGTCTGTGGTGACCTATATTCTCTGATTGCTGTTGCCTTTTTGGAACAATGGAGAAGTTGTGTTCTAATTATTCTGGCTCCAGCTGCATTCACAAATCAATGAGAGGAGTTTAGCTGTTAAAAGTTGTACTTCACTTCTCGCCTTTTGCACTTGTCTGTGATATTAGGGACAAATGTTCCCATTTTCCCAATTTTCCCATTAAATGAACAAATTTGTGATTAGAGTATAATGGACCTAAAGTCTGTTCTAAAAATCCAATCCGATCTCACGGCAATTCATATGCGAGGTGGCTAATGTGTATGAATTCATATGTATGGCCTACAGCTAGGGTTGGGTATCGAGAATCGAGTATCGTTTGGAACCGGGACTAACTTTTCATTTTTCCCGGACTCGTTCAAAAGTTAAAATTTCGATTCCTAGTTTCGATATTCACAGTCCGCCGAGCGGAAGAAGAAACCACTGAACAACACCAAAGAAGAAGCGTCGACCGGAAGTGTTGGCATAACCGCGCGAGTCGAACATGAGTAGCTTACGTCGGTGGTCCAAAGTGTGGATTCACTTTTCTAAAAATAACGAAATCTCGGCAAAATGCAAAATTTGTGACAAAAGGAGTATTTCCTTCAGAAAGATCATTGGTTAGCAAGGTTAGCTAAACTTTTTTGACCCCGCCTCTTAAAAGAATCGCAATCGAGAATCGTTAGGAACTGGAATCGAAATAAGGAATCGGAATCGGAATCAGAATCGTTCAAATTCAAACGATACCCAACCCTACCTACAGCTGACTACGCCACTACCCATCACTGCGGTTTAGACAAATTGTACAAATTTGTCAAACGTCAGTTGAGAAATGCGTACCTTTCATCTTAACATCATAATATACATCAAATACATAAGTCACCCGCTATATTGCTAAAGGTAGCAGATTTTTCATATCTACAAAAAAAATATATATATACCAGGATAAACTGGCTTCTCTTGATATATACACTCACTAAAAGGATTTTTAGGAGCACCTGTTTAATTTCTAATTAATTCAATTATCTAATCAACCAATCACATGGCAGTTGCTTTAATGCATTTAGGGGTGTGGTCCTGGTCAATTCAATCTCCTGAACTCCAAACTGAATGTCTGAATGGGAAAGAAATTAGATTTAAGCAATTTTGAGCTTGGCATGAATGTTGGTGCCAGATGGGCCGGTCTGAGTATTTCACAATCTGCTTCACACACAACCATTTCTAGGGTTTACAAAGAATGGCGTGTAAAGGGAAAAACATCCAGTATGCGGCAGTCGTGTGGGCAAAAATGCCTTGTTGATGCTAGAGGTCAGAGGAGAATGGGCCGACTGATTCAAGCTGATAGAAGAGCAACTTTGACTGTAATAACCACTCATTACAAACGAGGTATGCAGCAAAGCATTTGTGAAGCCACAACACACACAACCTTGAGGTGTATGGGCTGCAACATCAGAAGTCCCCATCTCCACTACAAATAGGAAAAATAGGCTACAATTTGCAAGAGCTCAACAAAATTGGACTGTTGAAGACTGGAAAAATGTTTCCTGGTCTCGATTTCTGTTGAGACATTCAAATGATAGAGTCAGAATTTGGCGTAAACGGAATGAGAACATGGATCATGCCTTGTTACCACTGTGACCATATCCATCCCTATATGGCCACCATGTACCCATCCTCTGTTGGCTACTTCCAGCAGGATAATGCACCATGTCACGAAGCTCGAATCATTTTAAATTGGTTTCCTGAACATGACAATGAGTTCACTGTACTAAAATGGCCCCCACAGCCACCAGATCTCAACCCAATAGAGCATCTTTGGGATGTGGTGGAACATGAGCTTCCTTGCCCTGGATGTGCATCCCACAAATCTCCATCAACTGCAACATGCTATCCTTTCAATATGGGCCAACATTTCTAAAGAATGCTTTCAGCACCTTGTTGAATCAATGCCACATAGAATTAAGGCAGTTCTGAAGGTGAAAGGGGGTCAAACAGTATTAGTATGGTGTTCCTAATAATCCTTTAGGTGAGTGTATGTGTGTTTGTGTTTACACTTTTGGGAGAGATAAATCCATGTATGTCAAACTAATAGTAGTCAATGAACACTAAATTGGGTTAAGAGAATATATTTTTACATATCTTCACCTTTGATGTAGTATTTATAGCATATTCATTTCCAAAAATGTACCAGAAATGCCCAGCAGATTATAGTAGGGCTAAGGCTATATTTTTTTCTCTTCTCATCATCTTTGTCCTCTGTCATCATTTCTTTACTGATAAAATGTGAACCATTGTAGGCTACTTCTCATATTGCTGAGCCTTTTGTACATTGCTCGAAACCAATCAAAACGATGAGTGTAAACCTCAGAATCTGGTCTCAATGCCAACACTGTAATGAAGGTAAACAGTGAGCATGAGGTTCCCTCTAGAGTAGACTGCCTTGCATGGTTTCAGCTTTAGCCCATCACACATTTTCCAAACCGATATCTTGAAAATATTCATAGCCAATTAAACCCATGCTTAATTCCCTCTTGCAGTCTTTCTTTTCCAGCCCAGAACCTTTCACAGGCTGATTACCTTGCGTGTGGGAGAAAGTTTTTGTTCTTTGGAACTAGAAGCGGGACACATTACATCCTTGCCACATTATATATCAATGTTAGCTTTGAAATGCTTTCAGTGAACAGTGTTTTCCCCTGACAGTGCATGAGTGAAAAAAATAAAAAATACAAACAAGCATGGATGTTTAGTCATTTCATCTGCTTGTTTCTACTGTATCTCTCTCACACTCCCTGTTTCTCTCTTTTTCTCTCTTCAGTTTGCCGTGTGGATTCTGTGAGGGTTTGCAAACAACAAGAAGTGTATAGTTTGTGTCCATTGAAGAGACCGTTTCCCCTCTGCTGATAATGAAGCACCATTTCCAGATGAGGAGGCAGTGAGTATTTTATCTTTGACTGTAGCCACATGTGCATGGAGAGCCATTAATTCCAATGGTTCACCGTGTGTCTTTGAAAGCCGTCCCTCTGCGCCTCCGTGCAAAGCCGCTCTCAATTTCACTCTTCTATCAAGTGCCTGGCCAAGATTACACAAATGTCATTTTAATGCCCCCTAAAAACCTCACCTCAAAGGTTCCTGTGCTCTTTGAAACTGTTCTTTTCATTCCCACATGTTTGATGTGCGCATTTTTAAAAAGCTGCTAGACACATTGTAAGGGTCCATATTTATGGCTTGAGTGCACTATTTTTTTCTTTTTCTTTTTTTCTCAATATTTCCTTTTGAAACCGTAGGTTTGAGCAGGGTATCATGACGAGATAGGCAATAAAAATCACATCTGTAAACTCTAATTTGCTCAATTCTTGGTTGCAGGTGGTAATAGGGGGTGGGACATTCTCATTCTATTGTGGATCTGATTGGACAAAAACGTGTGTAGTGCAGGATGAGTCATCAAAATTTTAGATTTGTTTCATTACTAATTACTGTAGTAAGTTTAAATTAGTATAATGGCCAATGGTTAATTGTGTTACTAATTTGTTAATTATTAGTTTGTTTGTGATAAATGTTTGCATCACATAACGAGCTCCATACAGAATGTATTACCTTTCTGACATTAAGATTGCTTGGGTAAGAGTCCCATGTAACAGGAGTCACTATAAAAGAGCTCCAAAACTTGTAGAAGCAAGCTATAATGGCCAATGCATTTGCTTTTGCTGGTTTGGTGGTTTTCAAATATTATTTTCTGGTAATCAATCTTTTATCGTCAACCACCAGATTTAATTACAGCAATATGTACAACAACCGACGCAATAAAACATTCGCGTTCTTCATCTGTTTAAAACTGAATACCACACTTGTTTCATTTTAAAAGTGTCATAAAACTTGCAAAAACAAACAAACAAAAAAAAAGATTTATTTATCATTTACAGGAATGTTTTTCCAAAAAACCAAGGTTAAGCATATATAGTATATATAAAATATATAATATATACATATACACACACTGTAATACTGTAGGAGGATGCTACAGAGCAAGATACTAGAACAACATTGTGAGGTGTCATTTTGTGGTTGTCCATCAGGGAACATTGATGTTGACAAAGGATGTGCATTATTCAACCCTGACCTATCAATTATTCATGATGCTGACGTAATGGCACATTAGACCGCTGTTATGTTTCCTGAGAGGGGTCTTCAACTAAAGCTCATACCGAGTGATTTCAGTCCTGTGGTGCTTGAAGAGGTGTGATAAAGGTGCTCTTTAAATATGGCTATCCTGGCTCAAAACCACTGTCGTATGGATAACAGCTGAGGATTTGGCCCCAGTGAGGTTGAAAATTGGAATTACGTGAGTAGCCAATGTTTGAAACAATTTGCCAAGCCACAAGGGTGCATACAGTACGTCCCTTTCTCTGAATTTACTATTTCATTGAGGGAAAGTAACCAATACAAAGATAAGGAGATTAATATGAAGAGTTCAGATGCAAAAGCCTCTAAGTGCCATTTGAAATTTTCTTTTAAAATGATCATTTTTATCAAGCTTATATATTTAAGTTCAGTAATTTCACTTAAATGACAATGAAGATTACCTATGAATTGCCATTTGAGTGAAATTACTGAACTTAAATATACAAGCTTGATAAAAATGATCATTCTAGAAGAAAATTTCAAATGGCACTTAGAGGCTTTTGCATCTGAACTCTTCATATTTTGATCATTCTGTGTGTAAATGTTCCAGTATTGCTTTCACGTTACATCTCAAAGAAAAGTACAATACCAAATACACAGCATGGAAACTGACATTTTGCTTATCTGCTTTTTTCTACACAGGCTTATTTCAATGATGTTTTAAAGCTGAAATATTTTAGTTAGATTTGTAACCTTCAGACTTCATAGCCTTCAGACCCAGGGCCTCATGCACAGAACTGCATACATTTCATCATAAAAGATTGTGCACGCACAAAAGTTTTCATTGACTATACTTTAGTGCTTAAAAGCCCAAAAAAACTAGAAAATAGAGGATACAGGATAAACAGTGCTGATAAGAGAGATATTACACTGCATGAAGTATTTTCTTAATCAATATCTTTGTTTTTCAGTATTGCATTTTGAGGGGAAAAATATGTAAGCAAAATTGCATCCGATATTTAGACTGTTTTAGACAATAAATCTAGTGTAAGTGTACTGTTCGCCTCATGGAAATTGTTTTTACTTTAAAATAATGATTCAGATCACTAGTAGACCTATAGCCTAGTTCCTACTGGGTGACTAGGCAACACTTGAGCAATTAGTGATGCATTGTATGACCATGTTCACAGTAGGAAAATGTCTCACTTCTCAGACAATGTTGTGATTCGTAATTAAGTGTTAATTGTTAATTTGTCAGTAGTTCTTGATGGGGTTTGTCTCATTCAGTAATTATTGATTACCTAGGGCCTATCTCAGTCCTAAATTTATATTGATTAATTAATTTTGTTTCCATATTCGTACATTCGATATATCGTGGGCTGGCGGGGATGCCGTGAGCTTTTTTTTTTTTTTTTTTTTTCAAAAATTATGATCTTGATGACATTTAACCTCATTCTAACTATGAGAAATAATTGAGATATTAAAACTCATTTGGGATTTTTCTTTCTGGTCCTGAAAGTGATGGAAAGTGTAAAAGTGCAAGCCTGAATTTTTTAAAAGGCATTTAACAGACAAGTTTGAAACACTCAACCTACATTATTCAGACATTTAATGTGCTTTTTGGCAGAGGATTCTTATATATATATATATATATATATATATATATATATATTATGTAATATGATAACCATATTTTTTGCAAAAACTCCAAAACAAAAACATGTATATACAATTCACTGCAGTTTTCTGCTGAAATGACCACAAGTGACAGTAAAACCCCAGCAACTTTTATTCCTTTTCACACAAATGATGATTACTGAGGCAGATAATTGATTAGTAAAGACTTATTTTTCTTACAAAATACTATATTATGACATCAAAACACTTTATAGTGCATGATTTGTGAACTAATTCATTTTGACAATTGTATTATCTAACCAGTTTCATATGTATTTATTTTACGAATTAGTTAACATGCTTGTTAGCTCACTTGGTCCACGGTAAGCACGCGGATGTGAGGCCCATGAAACACAAGTCACGATGTAAGCAAGCTAAAATGTCACACATTAACACTATTGGTTAGGTTTAGAGTATGTTTTAGTGTAGATGGCATGTTTTTTTTTTTATTTTCTTTTTTTCAATAGAGCTAACTTTGGCGCTCTCAACAGACATTTCATTTCCGAGCTGTCATGATACAGACTATATATATATATAATATATATATATATATATATATATATATATGAAGAGTTCAGATACAAAAGCCTCTAAGTGCCATTTGAAATTTTCTTCTAGAATGATCATTTTTATCAAGCTTGTATATCTAAGTTCAGTAATTTCACTTAAATTGCAATGCAGATTACCTGTTACTTGTCATTTAAGTGAAATTACTGAACTTGAATATATAAGATTGATAAAAATGTTCATTTTAGAATAAAATTTCAAATGGCACTTTCAAATGAACTCTTCATATATATATATATATATATATATATATATATATATATGTATATATATATATATATATATATATATATATATTCCCAAAATCTGCAAGAAGCAACGTAATATCATTTTGCGTAAATATCACTACAAGCATGTTTTACCAATAACTCTGGACTGACAATAACATTGATCCGGCTGTGAAGCTGTTTCCCGTGGCAGGAAGTTTGTCAAGTGCTCTCTTTGTTTCAGGTATTTTCCTTTACAAGACTAGCTCACCTGCTCGCACACACTCTCTGTTTTTCTACAATCAAGTCTTTCTCTGTAAGAGCTCTTCATCAGTTTCAGTGCAGTTAATATGTTGTGTCTCAGTGGAAAGGCATCTCATAGATGAGAGACTCTGTTCTTTTCGCTGTTCTTTGGATCAATCAGATGACAAACAAATCAATGGATCAGGTTTGAGTGAAGTTTTTGCTGTCATGACTCTCTTTTCCACAACTATGAAAGTGGCAACTACAATTCATGCCATCCTTTCATATGTCCATGTACTGTATATGTCCTGTCCCTTTGTTGCTTTTGGTAATAAGCTACATTCTATTCTTTGTCTTTGGTAGAGGACAGAAACTGACCTCTGCTTGACCTGCAATGAGTAAATGATTTTCATTATAGGTGACACTACAGTATATGTCTCAACTCTGCTGTCGACTCCATTGAACTTCATGTCATGGAGACCAGTCTCGAGGGATGCAGATAGATCTTTCACCCAGAGTAGAGAACGGCATTCCCCATTTGCTGTTACACATTTCTGAGCCTCAGCTAGACTTTTGTCTTGTAAATTACCCACTCTGGTAAGAACCAGCTTAAATCAGAATGAATTTCCATAGTATCTCAGGCTAGTTTATGTTGGATGCTGGTCTTGATCTGAACTAGCTACCATTGTGTTCCCACTCCAGTTCCTTAACCACAAAGTGTTTTTGTTTTGTGTTATCTTCTCATGAGCTCATGAAAATCAATTGAAACACTTTGCAGCTGGCTTTTCGAAAGAGATTCATCTATGAAAGTCAGGCTGCGCTTCATAATGGTCATTTAATACCATCACTCTGTTTAACAACAGCTTCATGAGGTGTTTTTGACAGATATTGTATTAATTATTTAAGAATATCAGGTTTCAATACATTTTTTTTTACAAAGTTTTCCTCCAAATACAAAAAAAAACTGGCACCACGTTAACTGTTGAAATTAGTAAACAATTAAGGCCATTTTGTTTTTAGACATTGGCTATTCTTATGTTCTTATTAGGATAATAAACAAAAATAATAATTATACCCTCATTGGTAACACTTTACTTGAAGGAGTGTGCATAAGACTAAC